TACATCATTGGAGAAGATGAGCAAAGGAGTGTCACCCTGTGGCATTGTTTAGAACATGTTCAAACCGTCTCCAGGTGAAGAATACAGTGAAATGCTAAACACGAGATTTTCATCGTATTGTTGACTTGGCTTGAAATTAACTATTCTGGCTCGAAATTAATCGAGTTTCGATTCAAATTGAGAGCATCCAGATTCATTCATATTAGCTTCTTTGCATTTTTGAAAATATTTTAATACATACATATGCATATGAAAGGAAAAGTGGTGAGCCTATCTCTGGTTTGTAAACATGTTGACGCAATAAATTTTGATAAAAGTTTCCTTGCCATTCTTACAATTGTGAATTGTTTTTTCAATTTCAAACTGAAAAAAAGTAATATGACATTTAATTCAGAATTTTGGATTATGTTGACTTGGGCTTGGGCTTGAACGGATACGGGGGAAGCGGGGATGGGGACGAGGATGAGAATGAAAATTATACCCGTTAACGGGGGTGGACGGAGATTTTTCAAGCGGGTACGGGGATGAAAACTATACCCTCCGCCCCCACTTCAGTCCATTGACATCCCTAAACATAGTGATCAAAAGTCCAATATACATGTCTAAAACTCATACCTACATAAAATCTTAAACTTATAGGTGGTGAGTCCATCAACAATATAATAGAGCACTTTAACCTCTTTTTTTTTTTTTTTTTTTCTAATGTGAACTTCTCACACATATATTACCTAACAATCTCTTCCCATGTGTGAACCACATCAGGCTTAACTCCCCTTGAGTTTAATCCATAAGCAAGACGTCCAACCACTCATTACAAAAGTTCGTTGTCTAAGTTTTTACCGTTCTTTATGAGTCATACCATAACCACTATGCCAAGAACTCTTGCACTCAAATTCGCACCCTAATCTTTTTTTCCGAGTTACGCTTTCTAGACTCCAATATTGAAAGCTCATCACTTTTTATAAAAAGTCATCATTAGTATCGACACACTGCACTGCTTCTTGGAGATTTTATCTCGTACCATTTATTGGGGAGAATAGGAAGTTCAGTGATTCAAAACCTAATATACATATCTGAAACTCATACTCACCTAAAAATTTAAACATAAGTGGTGAGCCCATTAATATTATATTAGAGCACTTTAACTTCTTTTTTTTGCCTATCTGATATAAAATTTCCACACATATAATACTCAACAAAATACGTTTCTTCCCAATCCTAACAAAGAATTTCCATTCTCATGGTTAGTTTCCTTAGGAAGCTGGATGATCCCCTCAACATACACCTTTTTCATGTTTTTTGGGTGAACTAGGCCCACTACAATCATAGCATTCTTTTGAGGTTAGGTTTTTTTTTCTTTTTTCTTGAACTGAGGTTAGGTGTTGACTATGGCAATTGTTTTCGCTGTAAAATTTTAAGGTGACTTCTTGTTGTCCCCCTCCCAAAATTTTTTATTAAATTTTTTGTATATCAAATCCATAGGTCTATCAAACTTTAATGAATCATCACTGATTTTCAGTTTGTCATATCATTTATGATTTAAAATTTGATACAAAAATTTAGTGCACAAAGTGTTTCTCAAGTATAAAATGCAAAAAATATTGAAAACTTTTGCGCCGGTAAGATAAAGAGAAGCCAAAACTATATTAAAGAAGCAAGAAAAAACCTCTTTTACTATGATAATTATCAAATATTCTAGTAAGACCCTCTACTTCTTGTATCTCCTTAAATTGGCATCAAATCCTAAGAGCACCCACAAGTTTATACATTAAACCGATCAAAATATGAACCAGAGCTTCAAATATTCTATATGAAGTAATTAGAATGGATTGATTATCCGATTAATCCTTTAAATTTCCCTTTATAGTCCAATTTCCATTGAATTTGGATGATTTTCATTACACTTATAGCGATATAGATGGGATGACGGTAATGGGTTATGGAGAAAGAGAGCGGCATAGAAAGAGGAGAGCTAGTTGTGTTGTCGGGAGTTGGGATAATGATGGTTTGATCTATGAAAATAATTATTTTTATTCAATTTATTTATCTAATCAAGAGACACAACCAATCATAACTTTTAAATCAAGAATTGACTCATTCTAATGTTCAAATGCTTAAACTTACACACATTTAATAACTATAATAATTTAAATATTCAAATTAAGGGGTTCAATATTATTGTTAAACTATGGGCAAAGAGGGTTCAAACCGACAGTGAGAGGAGGATTGGGTTCTATAAGTCCGCCAAAATTGGGTTGCTGACATGAGGGTATTGGGTACATTATGTTGTTCTCTCTCTCTCTCTCTAACTTGCATAATTGATTTTGACTAATAGATACTAATTTTGACCAGATTGCCCGAGGACAGATATTTCCCAGTTAAAATATTCTATAAAAAATATTAATATCTCATTTTAAAAATGAATTGTTGCATTGCGTTAGTGTTGGATATTGGCCCAATAGTAAATTTATTTTATTATGATATGTTGGCGTAAAGTTTAAGTTTTTAAAATAATTCTTTTGTGTATAAGAATAACATCGTGTATATTTGATTATTTTTATATTTTTTAACGAAGAAAACTTTGTTTATTGTTATTTTACGGTTGTGTTAACTCAATGTACTTGAGTATAATTTACTCTTTAAAAAAGAAAATGAATTTTAATAAAGTGAATTTACTTGATTAAAAACAAGCTGTTGGCATTGATTTACATGTTAAACAACGGAACAAAATAATAATTTTTTGATATCATTCTTGTTTTTTTATTTATATAAATGTGACATTTGAAAAATTCTCTTATTTAATCATTATATTTTAGGGGAATTACATCCAAATTTATTGAAGTTTGTCACTTAATCACTTAGACCTTCTGATATTTAAAATATTGTACACATACCCCCTGAAGTTTGTAAACGCATAACACTTAAATCAATGCAATATACATATCTATTAATAAATTACACTTAGTCACTTTAAGTTTGTAAGTATATAATATTTAGACCTTTTAATTTTAAAATATTTTACTTAGACAAAAAATACTCCAATCAAAGATAAAATATCAAAATTTTTAAATTTTACAACCAAAATTCATGTTCTATTGTATCATTTATTGAAATAAAATTAAAAAATAAAATTTAATTTTTTTTTTAAAATCATAATTAGTATACAATTATATTATCTATTGGAATAAAACTAAAAAAAAATCAAACAAGGGGTCTAAGTCATTCATAATAGAACATTAATTTTACATCAAAAATTCATATTTTATTATGTCATTTATTAAAATAAAATCAAAAATAAAAACCAAGTTTTTTTTTAAAAAAAAATCATAGTTAGTATATAATTATACTATCTATTATAATAAAACTAAAAAAATTAAATAAGGGGTCAAACTTTAATGAACACAATATCTTTTAGTTTTAATTGTGGTAGTTTGGTATTTTAATTTGGTCGTTAAAACGACCAAATTAAATTTCAATAGTTTGAATTTTTATTTTTGATTTTATTTCAATAAATAATACAATAGAACATGAATTGCAATTGCAAAAGTTAAAATATTTAATATTTTGTCTTTGATTGAAGTATATTTTTTGTTAAAATATAGCATTTTAAACTTAAGAGGTCTAAGTAATATATGTTTACAAACTTCAAGAGTCTGAGTATAATTTATTAACCAATATATTTATAGCAGGAGTCTAAGTGTTATGCGCCCTCTTATATGTAATATTTTAAATGTCAAGAGTTTTGATTGATTAAGCCTGAGGGTAATTCTCCCTTTATTTTACTATATATTTATAATTATATAATTTTGGGTTAATCTCAACTTGTATTCCGAAAGATTACTTAAATTTTAATTTATACCCTCAAAGTTTAAAATTATTAATTTACATCCTAAAACATATAAATTTATATCAATGTGCACCTGAAAAATAACGGTCATCCATTTTGCTGTTAAAAAAATTAAGGCTAATTATAAATTACACTATCAAATTTTAAATATTTCACATTTATGATTCAAAAACAATTACATCTATTAATGCTTGTTAAATAACTCTCAATTGTATTGTGTCGTGTCTAAATTTAAACAAAAAATACCTATTTAAGGAGTATAGGCAAAAAATAGGTATTTTCGTAAATGTGAATATACGATATAATGAAATTGACTCGATAAGAAAATATATTTTTGTGTGAAAAGTAATTTTTTATTGACTCGAACATGACACAAAAATAATACAACAAAACACAAAATGACATGACACGAAAATGTTACGATACGACAAAATTGAGAGATATTTAAAGAGTATTAATGAATGAATTTTTTTTGAATCATAAATGTAAAATATTTAAATTTGAAGGTGTAATTTGTAATTAGCCCAAATTTTTTTTAATAGCAAAATGGACTGCAGTTAATCTTCTGTGCACATTTATATAGATCTATGTTTTTAAGAGTTTAAATTAATATATTTAAATATTAAGAATATAAATTAAAATTAAAATTATCTTTCAGCTTGTAATTTGAAATTAGCCCTATAATATTCATAATCAATGGCCGTAAATAAACAAATGGAAAAGGTATAGCCATAAAAGTTTATTTTAAGTACAGAGGCTTGTCCTAATTTGTACTGTTTTTGACTATATCAAAATAAAAAAATAAAAAAAGACCATATCATTTAATCAAAGGCTTTTCCTAAGTTGTACTGTTTTTGACTATATCAAAATAAAAAATTAAAAAAAAGACTATATATTATATAATTTAATCAGTGGGTTGGCATAAAAAATTACCCACTCTTGTCGGTGGAAAAGCAACTCTCTCTCTCTCTCTCTCTCTCTCCTGTTGATAATGCGACAAAAAACATCAGACGATTCCTCGCCACGCGTTATTCTTTTTCCCTTCGATTTACCGGCGTTTTCCAATAACCGTTAGGTGGAACCTTGAACCAAAAAGTTGCAGTATAAATCAAGCAAGCTGGTTAAAGCTAAAGCAATGTCTCACCCAAAACCACCATGATCAAGAAATCAGAAAACTCAAAGATAAAGACGTAAAGTAATGAAGAGAGAGAGGGGGAAAATTAGACAGTCTGTCTTTGTCGATTAGTGGACTCGTCAGTGTCATCAACCAAATTGTATATTGAATTTCAATGCAATAGAAGACAGCTGCATCACATTCACAGCCCATTTCCTCCATTATTGTCCCTACCTCACCACCACCCATCAACCCAATAATAACCCTGTACATCACCTTAGTCCACCAGTCTCTTTTCTCACTTTAGAGAGTGAGAGACCCAACTGCCATTTCAGATCTAGATCATACACTTTTTGGGTGTTCTTGATTTGTATTCCAGAAACTACATTAATCAAGTTTTTTTTATATCATCTTCTTCATTGCTTTAGTTTCTGGCCTGGAATTGGGTGAGAATTTAACTCGATTTTAAGCTTTTTGAGAGTCCTTGACCTGTGTTTCAGAAACTACATTAATCAATTGTTTTTTGTATCATCATCTTCATTGCATTTGGGTTCTGGGTTTGAATCGGGTGAGAACTGACCTTTACCATAATAAGTATGTTTGGTAGAGATCCATGGGGTGGGCCGTTGGAGATACACGCGGCGGACTCGGCCACCGACGATGATCGGAGCAGGAACTTGCAGGACTATGACAGGGCGGCGCTGTCACGGCCGCTGGACGAGACACAGCAGAGCTGGCTGTTGGGTCCTGGCGAGCAGAAGAAGAAGAAGTATGTGGATCTTGGTTGTATAATTGTGAGTCGAAAGATCTTTGTGTGGACTGTGGGGGCGATTCTCGCAGCTGGATTCTTAGCTGGGTTCATTACCCTCATTGTTAAAACGGTGCCGAGGCATCACCGGCATCATCCTCCACCTGATAATTATACGGTAGCATTGAACAAGGCACTCATGTTCTTTAATGGGCAGCGCTGTAAGTGAAAAATCTTATATATTTGTACAGGTAGATAGATATGGATATAGATTTGCTTTATAGGGTGAAGAGTAGTCAGATCTGATGATTTTTCGGCATGTTTAATTTGAACCACCCACAGTAGTGTTAGCATTACCTATTTGCAACTTAATGTTGAGAAGAAAAGATTTGGCTTTGATGATTTGACTTCCTTTTTGAGATTGAGATTGAGATTGAGATTGAGATGGAAGAATTGCAGATTATTTTTAGACTCTCGTTGTATATACATGTATGTGTTTAGTGGGTGTTGCGAAAAATAAAATATGTATTCATATGGTTCTGATTTGTTTTGGGAATAATTGTTCAGCCTGAGTCTCAAAAAAGGGGGTGAAAAATGTAATTCATTAGAGATCACGCGTAGGTCAGTCAGCCAAAGCTTTTGCGGTTTATATTAATCGATGTTGTCCATGTGGGTTTTCACAATGACAAAATTGTCCCAAACTATTGTTTTTGGTCTGAATTGTTTTTTATTAACTCATGCTATTAATGTTTTCGTTTAGTCTTGTACTTTCCCTAATTTCCAAAATTGACAATTGCAGCTGGAAAACTCCCAAGGCACAATAATGTATCATGGAGGGGAGACTCCTGTATGAGTGATGGCAAATCTAATGTATCACCGGTAATTAAAGATCTTGTGGGTGGCTATTATGATGCGGGAGATGCGATCAAGTTCAACTTTCCGGCATCTTTTGCCATGACCATGTTGAGTTGGAGCGTGATTGAATACAGTGCAAAATATGAAGCTGCTGGGGAGCTCAACCATGTTAAAGAGATAATTAAGTGGGGGACTGATTACTTTCTTAAGACCTTCAATTCCACTGCTGATACAATTAACAGTGTCGCGGCTCAGGTAACCATTATCCACTGTTGGATTGATTCGTATTTCGGTACAGTTAGTTCCAGTGAATCATCAGATTCCACTATGTAGATCCTTTAGCCTGGGACTTGTGTCTGTAGTGTAGCCGTTTGTAAAGCCATTGCTTTAATTTCTTTTTTGGGTCATCTAAATTTTTTCAAGGTATGTAGAGTTTGCAATCTCATCCATGGACTTTCTTTCCTATATATCCAACAGGTTGGAGTGGGGGATACTTCAGGAGGACCAAGCCCTAATGATCATTATTGTTGGATGCGTCCGGAGGATATTGATTATGCTCGGCCTGTATATGAATGCCATAGTTGCTCAGACCTTTCTGCAGAGATGGCTGCTGCTTTAGCTTCCGCATCCATTGTTTTCAAGGATAACAAGGCCTACTCCCAGAAACTTGTACATGGTGCCAAAACCCTCTTCAAGTTTTCTAGAGATCAGCGAGGCAGATATAGTGCTGGTGGTGCCGAAGCTGCTATTTTCTATAATTCCACTAATTATTATGATGAGTATGTGTGGGGTGCAGCTTGGTTGTATTATGCTACTGGAAATACTTCATATCTTCAACTGGCTACGACTCCAGGTATCGCCAAACGTGCTGGTGCCTTCTGGGGAGGCCCAGATTATGGTGTACTTAGCTGGGACAACAAGCTTGCTGGAGCTCAAGTAAGTTAATGGAGCTTGTTATTAACGTGCCTACATTATTTACCTTTCTCTTCTCGTGTAATTCATTGCTTGGTGCAAATGTACTGTGAAGTTGTGTACTCCTTTCTCCTGGGTGTTTCAAATACTTCTAATGTTATTCTTGACATTCATAGAATCTGAGCTGCATCATTAGGAATGACATTTGGCTATTTGTTAACTAATACTGGTACAGTGGTGGGGTGCTTATATGCTTTTTGCTGTGTAGTAGCTGCGTGTTTGGTAGTCTTTTTTTGTGTTGTCACTCTGCTAGCTCAAGTATTTTTTCCTAGCCTTCTGGGTGCGTTGGATCATGGATGTCATTATAGATGACTTGTATCTTCAGCAATTGTTCTGTGTGAGCTTTGGACAGCCTAGAGCTCTAATTTTAGAAAGCTACTGATAACCACATTTTTTATGTGGTGCTATGCTTCCTTGAGATCAATGGATCACTAAACATATTACTGTGGACTGAAAATGGCAGAGCAATAACCTAAAATTGGACATAATCACATCGTTATATGAATATTTATCACATATTGGGCTTATCTTACTGCAAATGGAGCACAGAGGGATTGTGTTGGTACTGGTTATTTTTCATTTAAATTGAAAGCATAGCAGTGATGAAGGAAACAGATTATATTTTTTCTTCTATGGTATTGAAAGTCTTCCTAAAGAGTGCCTATATGTGTTTGTGTTTATTGGCAAAGCTTTTGTGGATATCATGCCCGGTCCATTGCTGATGTGGCATTGCTATTTGGTTTTCAGGTGCTTCTGAGCCGTTTGAGATTGTTCTTAAGCCCCGGGTATCCATACGAAGAAATTTTAAGGACATTTCACAACCAGACCAGCATTATCATGTGCTCATACCTGCCTTACTTTACGAGCTTTAACAGAACAAAGGGTACACCAGCTTCGCTATATTACCCTTATGGTTTTCTGTTTGTTATTAATTGTATGTTTGGAATCTAATTTAAATTGTGGGGACCTGTTGCAGGAGGTTTGATTCAATTGAACCATGGAAGGCCTCAGCCTCTTCAGTATGTAGTCAATGCAGCCTTCTTGGCTACCCTGTTCAGTGACTATCTTCAAGCTGCAGATACACCTGGATGGTACTGTGGACCCAATTTTTATTCAATTGATGTGCTGCGTAAATTTGCTGAGACCCAGGTATGTAACTTTCTGTTCTCTCTTTAAGTTAGCTGAATGGACTCCTGAGTGTAATCTGGATTTTTATATTGTTGTGTAAAGAAATATAAAAAATGTAGCCCCAGTGTAGCTCCTATCAATTCCTCAGAAAGAGGACTTTCTAATGTGTCACAATTTGTTGGTAGTTGAAACCTTTGTTGGGTATTAACTCGAGTGATCTTTCTGCATTCTTGCAGATCGACTACATCCTTGGCAAAAATCCAAGAGGTATGAGTTATGTTGTGGGTTTTGGCAATCATTATCCGAAACACGTCCACCACAGAGGTGCGTCAATCCCCAAGAACAAGGTTAAGTACAATTGCAAAGGAGGATGGAAGTGGAGGGACAGCACCAAGCCTAATCCAAATACAATTGTTGGAGCCATGGTTGCTGGTCCCGATAAGCATGATGGTTTCCATGATGTCCGTACTAACTACAATTACACAGAACCAACGCTTGCTGGCAATGCTGGTTTAGTGGCAGCCCTGGTGGCTTTGTCAGGCGACAAGACCACTGGAATCGACAAGAACACCCTATTCTCAGCAGTTCCCCCTATGTTTCCAACTCCACCACCGCCACCAGCACCTTGGAAACCTTGAGGTGCTGGCATGGGTCCTTATCATTTTTGTGTTGAAGTGGACTTCTTGTTACATGATTTTTCTGCTGCAACTTTTTTTTTTGGGATATTGAACACACCCTGAACATGAAAAGACAAAATTAATACAGAGATGAAGAATATGATGGGCATAAACAACTTGAAGATAGTGGGGCTGGGCAAGGACTTTGAACTTGGAATAGCCTGATGACGTAGTTATGGTACTCCCGGGCATGTCTTATTTACTTTGGCATTTGTGATACACACAGTCTGCATGTATGTAAGTATGAAATCAACCCTGTATTCGTTTAAAACTGTGAACAGTTTGTAATTTGTTACAATAAATCTTCAAACGTCTAAGCAGTTACCTTCTTTTGTGTCATGCGTGCACTTTTGCTATCTCGTATTTGGGTGCGTGTGGAAAAATTGTCTCTAAAGGTTGTGAATGAATGAGAAAAACGTTGAGAATCAGTTGATCTGGGAACCACCTTAGAACAAGGTTTGATTATAGGGGATGTTGACATTGTGAACAGTGAATATGTGTGGTATGCATGTATGTATTCGTCTTGGGATTGCTTGCCCTTATCAGACTTTTTAAGTTTTATTGGTTCCATGTCATTTGTGAAGTAAACCAAGAACGCCTAGCATAGACAAGACTTATTCGTTTGTCTTGCATGAACAATATCATGTAACAGACCAGCATTCATGTAATGACAAACAGTATTCATATTATCGACTGATAAAAAATTGGGACAAAATCTTGTTAATTTGAGTTGAGTTTTTATCTTTTGGTTTGAATATAAATAATTTGAGTTCAGTTGAAAACTAGTGAAATTGGAAGTTAAATAAGCAGACTCAAAAACAATTCATAAAATATTTGCAGTTATGCAGAGTTCATCACAAAATGAGTTTGTATTCATCTTTTCCTGTTTATCTCTTTCTTTCCATTATCTTTTGCAGTTGAGGTGACTATTTTTTTTTGATTATTTGCATATGCGATATTGGGTACAAAAATAAGGTTGATCAATGTTTTTTTTTTTTCCAAAAGGCCAAGTTTGGTTAAAGTTAGAAAGTTCAATTTGGTTGAACTAATGTCCCAACCTGATAGAGGTGACTAATACTAAGCATTGTCAGAAGATAGAACACCAATATCAGTGCATGGAGAATGAAATTCCGCTTCAAAAAAAAAAAAAAAAAAAAAAAAAAAAAAATATATATATATATATATATATATATATATATCATATTTGCGAATGCAATAATGCATGAAAAGAACCATGCTTTGAGCAAGAATAACATTTTTTGATTCAGTGCATAGTTTCATTCAACTTGGAAACCGAGAAAATTTTAAAAATAATCCAAAACAACTCAAAATATTAAAAATTTGATATTCAATCATTATTTGTTTTGGTTTCAAAAGAAAATGTCTCGGCCTTTCGGTGAAAAAAAATGAAATTCTGATCATTGGCTTTGAGTAGCAATTTTTAAGTTCCCAATAAGTAAAGAAACACTGTGACTAGAGTTGAACAAATGGCTTCATTTCAACTGTTTGGTCGCCCCACCACCTTGTTGCTGTAGAATGGTAATTTAAGGAAGTCATCATTGGAAAAAAAATAGTTTCGAAATAGGATTTTAATGTGCCCTAAAAAGAAAAAAAAAATCAGAAGCATTGAATTCTCTGATTCATTTGCACTCAAGGAATGATCAATGCAAAGATTTGTCTAACAATAGATGGCACCTTTTTCTAGTTCTTAAGTACTCAAATTCATTCCTACTATATTATGTAGTGAACTATACAATTATAATTGCATTTAGAACTTATCAATATACATGAGTCATTGCTATTACATCTATTGACAAGCAGGGAAGCAGGAGGTTCATAGGGTAGGATCATTCTTGCATACGCAAACAGGACAGTGCATAGATGATATATGGTTGCAGTTACAGATCAAAGCTGTGGCTGTTGAAATGGAAGATTGGGTGGTTGTTTCTTCTCCTTAAATTCTGTGTCCGGCACTCTTTAGCAACAGTTACCTGAAGAGTTGGAGGACCACACACAATGACGCCAACATTGACATCGCCCCAGCGCTCTGATATGGTTCCAAATATTTCTGCAGTCAGGAGTAAGAAACTAGAGTCAAGAAAAAAATTAACCTTTCTTCTTGGAAATTGAAGTGCAAAAGAGCTTCATTTCCCACAATAACATTGCCAACCTTGAAACTTCATGTACAAAAAACGGATGATGAGTTTAGTCACTCAATGGATTGCAGAGATTCTACACAAACTGTTTTTGTCTTTCCACTCTCCACAATTTGAGACGATTTCTGTCTAATAACTGTGGACGAAGTACTTCAATCCTAAGTATCTAGTCATTTTTGAATGACATAGACTCAACTGCCCTTTTTCTTATTCTTGAGGTTGCATACATCAAACCCTTGAGGATGCCTCTTGTACTAGGCTGTTCTTCTCTTCTTAAAAATCTTTATTGCAGGTAAACGAAAAAATTGACAGTACATTGTTTGCCAAGACATTGTGTGGAAGTGGATTTTTACATTCATGTATATGATTCAATAAACTAATTTCAGCCATCGCCTCAAGGACACAACTAACTAAAGCAATGTCATAAAAATAATAAAATTCAGGAAATATGCTATTCAGAACACAAACCAAATTATTCAGTGATTTTTTTGTTCCTTTAATCCTATGGAATTGAAACTCCATTGAGGACATACCTTGGAAGTCTGGTCTCTGACCATACCGAATAGTATTAGCAGCATTTCCCTGGCATGGATCCTTAGGCATCACAGGCTCACTATGCGTATAGCCATTCTTCTCATTTTCCTCCGATTCCTCCATTGCTGTAGTTTTTCTTTCCCAAAGATGCCATAAACCAACAGCAAGACCCCCAAAGATAAGAACACTTGCCATCATGCATGCTAAAAAAAGAAGCCCTTTGTACCACCAGTAAGTTATATTGAAGGGGTTTATGTAAAAGACATCTAACACGATGACAGAGATCACCAAACCAATCGTAGATGCCACGACATAAATTCCAGACCATACAATATTCCCAGTACCAACCAAGACTGACATGCCACATCTCTTGGTGGCAGGAAAGATAGGAGAGTTTACAGACTCTTGAACTTTACCCTCTTCCTGCAGTTAAACATGTGATATTTTGGGAACTCAGTATGGGAATTTTAATAAGTGAATACCAGAAAAGGAAAGTAAATTAACACTTACCAGTGGAGGTTCAGATTCTCGAGTGACATAAGTTTGAATCTCAAGATTCAGTGTATCAGAATACATTGGGCAGATTGACTCCATATCAACAGTGTGAAGAAGTGAAAGCTCATTTGATCTTTTCACAGCCCAGACTATCAATACATTCTTGGGCAGACAAGGTTTACCATCCTTTATACGGTGGAGAATATCACTCAAGATAGCTAGAAATGGTGAGATTCCAATGCCTCCAGCAACTAGAATGAGGTTTTCATACCTAAGAGAACCACAATGGCACAGTCAATCTATTAGCAAAAAATCTATCAAATTATCGAAGTAGGGAAGTTTGATCATCCAACAAAACATAATGTCATAAAAGTAGCTGAAAATTACTGAGGAAGATTTTTCCCTCTCTGTTCTCTCTGCATATACTGATATTAGTAATTTAGACACGCTACAACCAGGTAATCCACATATCCTTCACTCAAGAAGTTCTAAATTGGAAGCTAAACTTGCCTTTAATAAACAAGAGTTTGTTAAAAAAGTGAGGCCACCTTGGGACCATCCACTATACATTGATACTAGCTTTAAGCACAGATCCCAACCTTAACAGCATCAAAATTTTCTTTCTTGTTTTTCTTTTCTCTTTTGATATCTATCAGTAGAAGGTGAATCTAAACCAAGGTTTCCATTACTTAGTATGGACAGATGTTGATCCAGAAAAAGAGTACATACGTCAAGTGATATGGCGATTCATGCCCATAAGGCCCCTCTACAGAAGCCGTTATCTTGGAATGAGGCTTGAGGAGTAGCCCTGTCTGAGGCTCATCCTTGGAAACATTCAAGATATGTCCTTTCAGTTTTGATGTCCATTCACCAAGAACCTTTATGAGAACTGAAAGATGATTTTTACCCTCCAACGGACTAGAGGACACACTGAAAGGATGCCACTGCAGAAAAGATAATTCTCGAGCTTGAATGAAAATCCAACCAAGAGCATTGTACCGAAGATCTACATTGTAGAGCAAGAGAGTAAATCACATGGTAATCAAATATTCAACAAGAATCAACTAGACCATGAAGAACTATTATTACTTGCAGGTTTGGCTACAACCAGTTCCACTGTTCCACAAGGACGGCATGTGGCTGAAAGTATATCAACAGTCTTCCGTGATTGACAGAATCTAAGAAAACGATCGAGCATGAAGAGAAATATTCCAGCAGCAGCCATTGTAAAAATGAAGTCTCCAACATGCAAGGCCAAGAAGACAACAAAGACGACATATAGTTGATGGCTGTAGAAGAATAATTCAAAATTTATTCTCCTTACAGAAGGAAGTGATGGAATCCACATCAATAGACCAGCTGAAAGGCTGATAACTCCAGCAAGATTGGCAATACCAATATTTTTCCACTGCAAAAGCTGCACAAAATTATATGAAAGAAATTTAGAATATTCTTCAATCTCTTTATATCTTTTTAAATTGTCTTCAATATGTAATGTAGTTTTGATATCTACGAGAGAGATTAGAGGATTTACAGAGCAGAAGATTGATAGGATTTTTTACTGCAAACATTTTGCAACAAATTGAGAAATCCATGTACCAAATGCACTTCAGCTGATGGAGGATAAATAGAGATGCAAATGAAAAGCTTTAAAATATTGTGGCTACCCCAAATCATGCATAAGAAACAGGAATACTTGCGAAAAGAAGCACAGAGTCAGTCACAGCCACAAAACAGCCGAGGGAATCAGGCAGCATTATTAATGCACTATGCAAGGACATGAATTATCTGGTGAAGCTAGTGGCGGAAAGGTAAGAAGGAGGACTCTGTTCCATGACCTTCAAGATTTTGAAGTTTTGTAGCTTTCAGATGTAAAAGGAAAGAGAAGGATGCTAAGGGTAGGGTAACTTTTCTAGATCCAATTTGCTTTAGTTCGACACAACCAGACCAACCCTATGGGTAACTGTTACTGTCCGTCCACTAACTATTGATGCCACAGCAAGATTAAACACGAGAGTTCCTCGCTTTCTCCTACTGTATTATCTCTTTCTATTAAGTTTATATGGCTTATCTTATTTCGAAATCGTAGCCTGCTATCCACTAGTTTGAAACATTGGAAAATATGACATAGGCAGGGGTCTCATAACATGCCTAGCTGCTTTCAATTGTTAAATCCTGGATGCTATATGAAAAATCACATAGGATAAATCTGGAAAGGAGGTAGATCTGGACATGAACATAATCTGCCTTCATGGTCACACTTCAGTATCCCACTTATTTCAGATATGTTATAGTTTCACTTGTTTTGTTTGACAGAATATTCTAGCAGAGCCAAGTTCACATCTCTTTATAGGCCTTTCATATTTATTTGCTGTGAACCATTTTCTACTTATTCCAATAGGTGGAAAACAATGACTGGTTTTGATTATGCTTCAACTCAAGTTGATTGACCAATCATCCATGGTGTAGTTGTATTTTTGCCAACCAAAACGAACAGGTAGAAAAAAATTGAGAAGCAAAAATACCTATACTCGTGTCTTTATGCAGCGAGCATATGTTTTAATGTGAAACATATGCATGTCTTGAAGAGAATATGAGTGAAAATAAAACTTTAGGACTCACTTCTTCTAGGAGACGTCCCTGCATTGACCAACCAATTACATAAAATAGGCCATGAAGAGTAAACAACGACAGTGTGAGATGTCCCAACCATACATGATATCTGGTTGCATGCTCAAAAGGGATATCTATAACTCGGAGAAGAACTGATCCCCTTGCAACTGGCAGAAACAAAAATGCCAAGCAAAACAAGCCAATCAAACCGAAGCGAAGTCCTGTCAATTCCAGCATCATAGCACTGAAGAATTCAAGTTACAATGGGAAACTGTCCAGTTAAACAAATCTTTACACTCAGAAAAGAACGTAAACTTGCACTGTTTACATAACCATGAAAAAATGAATGGAACTAAAAAAATTCAAGATTCCAGCCTCATGTAAATAATCTTTGTCATAGAGAAACTAAAACACATTAGAGTTTTCACTTATATCAAGGACTAAATAAGAAGCAATAAAAATCTAGAATGCATGGTAATTTCTTCATATCAAGTAATGAACCTAGGAAATTAGATCAGATAGTTTTATGTATCAAGTGGATATTCACAAAGGACTAGTTCTCCTTGTTTAGTTTGATTAAGCATTACAAAACATAAGATAACTCTTCCTAAGTGTATCCAATTTAAATTTGATTCTGGAAACATTGTCAACTTGAACCTGGGCGTAATGGTGAACAACACCAAAAGTACTTAGTTTGATCAGAATTCTCGTCAATAAACTCCAAAGTAAAATGCTGCTGGGACAAAATTAGGAGACAGAAGGAAATAGTGCCATTGGATTGGCTGCAGGCCCATCCAATATTGGAACCCACTGTCAATCCAATGATATAGTGTATCCAGTCCCTAAATTTTGCCCCCGAATTTGGTCTCAATAGCAATATCCAATTTTAAATAATCAAACGGAGAAAAAAAATGAAGAAGCAAAGATCATAGTTCAGGTCAGAATTATATGAATACAATTCATCTAAATTTTACCAGATCTCTCCCTGAAGGTTTTAAAATGTAGACTTCCGCATAAAAATTGGGAAATCATGTAGAAAGTTTTGAACCAACGTGAAATTTCATTCGGACAAACTTGAATTTTTATGCATCATACTTCGGCTGATTCAAAATGCATTACTTTGATAAGTGTGTGAAATTCAAGCCTATGCTTTTTCTCTGCAGAAGTGTAAAAGAAAAACTTAATTTTTACAGGAACTAAACAGAAATAGGCATTCCTGGAGAATAGCAGAAGTTAAGAATTAATGGAAAAGGCTCCAAAAAAGCAAAAACAAAAAATCATAGACACCACAAAAAGAATTATCATCAGAGAGAAACGCAAAACTCAAACTATGGACCTCAAACTGATGTAAAAAAGCAGTGTTGTCTACTTTGTTGCCTCAAAATAGACCAAAATGAATCAATAATACCATCAAAGAGCAGGCCCCTAGGACTTCAAAAGGGAAATATTTTACATGATAAGTTCATCAAATTGTCCTGTAAATCAGTTCAGCAAATATTTATATCAATTTTGATGGTTTCATGAATAGCCCATCAATTCTATGAAATTTTTTTATCTTGGTTATATTTAAGGGTAGCTGTTTATCTTCTCTAAAGGGTGAAAGGCATTTAGATATCTAAAATAACAAGGCAAATTAAATTGTCAACAAAGCAGCTAGTCCTAAGTAAACACGCTTGGCACCATTCAGGGATAACAGATGGAGCTAAGCTTCAACCCTAATTCCTAAAAGTTGCAAAACCCCAGAAAATGGCGAATATCATTTCAGAAGGAATTGGTTTCTGCAGCAACCTATTAAAACCACACTCAGCTAAACACATCAAAAAGGCAAAGAATAATCATCATAGAATGGTAGTCTACCTTTTCTCTTTGGAATGCAAGTCAAAGGAAGATATAATCTTCTGGTTCTTTATGGTATAGACGGTAACTGCCCATATGACATACACAGAAAAGAGGACAATCCCAATCAACTCTGCAGCAGAAACAACCCCAAATGGCCCATCCACGATAACTGGGAATGTCCACAAGCGGAAACGTGCTTTTCTTGTAGTGTTCCTATGGACAAAGTTCATGAACACAATCATCACGGGAATGAGTGTGTGTATAGAACATAAAACCTCATATTACAAAGTTCATACACACAAATATCATCTGAATGTGTGTGTGTGTGTGTGTGTAGGAGATAAGAGCTCATATTAAAAAGTACATACTCATGGAGTTCCTCTTCTCCAGAGATGATGAGAAGTATTATAGCAAGAAATGCAATGATGAGAATTGGGCCACTAAACAGCAGAAATATACTTCCTGTAGATTGTTACAGAATCATCAACCATCCAACATAATATAAGTAAAGCAAAAAACTCAAGTTACCAACCAACCTGTGAGCCCAAACACAGTCCCACGTGTAGCCTCAATCCATTTGTCAAACAATTCAGTCACAGATTCCAACGGATACACAAAAAGAAAAGTAGCCCAGGCAATGAAAATCACCCACATTGAAACTTTGAGAATCCATTTGACAGATGATAACCAAAAGGATGTCTTCTTGACATAGCCAAATCTATCATCTTCTCTTAAAAGAAGAGGTTCATGAGCTGAGTGGTCACCCATTGGAAGAAAAAAGAAAGCAAACAGATTATAAGCAATTGAATGGGCCTTTCCTAATTTTCTTAGCCAACTTTAATCTCTCCTGAACAAACTCAGATGAACAGAAGTCATTAATATACAAGAAGACTTGGAAAAAGAACAACCCCTTCAACATTTCAGCCAGGTATATTTAGCATCAGGACAGACGTTCGAAGAAAACGAATTCCCAGGAAATTTGAGCCACTAATTGCTTAAGATGGATTGGAATACGAAGTATAACCTTTTTTGCTTTTTTTTTTACTGGTAAAAAGATTGAAAGTACTTTACTTCTGGAGTCCGCGAGCTACCAAATATCCCAGGAACAGTAGCATTATTTAGACCACATTTGTCCATCACCAATAATTTCTGTTGAGCCTTGTAATAATTTAATATTTACGAATCTTTTTTGGCTAAAGAACGTGACAAAAAATAACTGGTTTTTAACCACCAAACCTTTGGTTGGTCATGGCTCTCTTTCCTAAATCAATTCTCAACTTGTTTTTTTTTTGGGGTCAGTCATCAATAGAATTTATTTTGGTGTTAACTAGTGGGCCCGTGGTTGTGCAATATATGATTTTTCTTTTCAATTTTTCACTCAGCCACTAAGAAAATAAAAATAAATTATAAAAAGTTCTAGAGTGATTAAAAATAATTTTTTTATATAAACCTTCATAATTTAGAATTGTAGGAAATTAATAGAAAGACTTAGATAGTGTTTGATAAAATTGAAAGGTAAAGTCTAAAAATTGAAATTTGAAATCTGTAATGAAAGCTGAAGTCTAAAAGATAAATGCTGAATCTGTGGACTGTTTGATATCCATTAAAATTTAAATACTTAATTAAATTAAACTGTTTGATAAATACACAACGTCTGAAAATAAATTAATTTTCAGTTTTACCTTTCCTTTCTTTACTTTTTTTTTGGTAAGTTCTTTCTTTACTTTGAAAATATTTATAAAATATATTTTTATCTAATAAAAAATTATGATATATCAACTCAATTTAATTCAAAATATAAGTCATAATCACTATTATCATATTGTAGTCAATATATTGAATAACATAATAAGTAAACAATAACTAATAAATATTTGAAAAATATTAAAAAAATTAGAATTTAATTTGAACAAAAAATGGAACAAATTAGAATATTAGATTTTAATTTATGGGTGGGTGCAGTGCATGTGTGTGCAACGTGTGTATGTGTGAAAAGTGTGTGCATGTAATTAAATGTGTGTGTGTGTGTTGCAGAAGACAGTTGAAGACAAACAAGAAGATTTACTACCAGCAAAAAAAAAAAAAAAAAAAAAAGGAAGAGACGATGGAAAAAAGACAGCGAAGTAATTCTTAGATAAATTGGAGGTTTTGGAGGGAAGACTAATTAGGGATTTAATAAAATTATGAAATATTTTTTCATAAATATTATTAAACCATGCAATATACAAAATTTGCAATTTCTCTACATCATCAAACCTTAGTCAGTCAATTTTTATTTTTTTTTAGTTTTTCACTCGGCCACAAAAAAAAAGAAACAAAATTATTGAAAGTTCTAAATTGATTAAAGCTGATTTTTTATATAAACCTTCATAATTCACAATTACAGGAAATTAAAAAAATAAGGAGAGAAGATTTGTTAAATCTCTTTCCTATTAAATATATATTATATGTATATATATAAAATAACTAGATGAGAATAATTAAATAAGTTAAAATTATGATAATTTAATATTTAATGAGGAAAGACTTCTGAAAATATTAAGAAAATTTTTTGATTGACTACTTTAACCCTAAAATAATATATTAGGACAATATTAGTCTTATTTAATTTAGACCTCATATTAATAAGGTTTGATTGATGTTAAACTTTTAATTGAATAATTTTACTCTCACAATACTAAAATTATTAATATGAATTCATTAATATTACACATATCCAAGCTTTTCATATTCTTTCTTTTAAAAGACAAAAATTAATTATTAAAATAATTAAATTTACTTTTATTCATGTCTATCTATTTTCATTAGTTGATGACAAGTTTCTGAATTTTCAAATGAAATTACAAATGTGCTTAAGTCTTATTTAGTATAAGATTTTATTTTAATATAATTTGAATAATATTATCAAACCCTAACTTTTCATTTTCTTCTCTTTTATGTTTTAGTTTTAATAAATTCTCTTTAGTTATGTTTATTGGAAATACTAGAAACCATTTTATTTGTATCGATTAGCAATGCATCGAATATGTTCAGTCTCATAAATTATTTATCACAATTTAACTTTTTAAATTTGTTCAACCAATTGTTTATAATTAAATGACCAATATAACTTAAAATAGTTTGCTTCTATATTTTTTTAAATTTAATAAATGTCTACGATATGTTTTAGTTATATATACCCACATACTATAAAATATATTTGTATCATTGCTATGATGTTGCAAATAAAATTAATCTAAATAATTAACTTCATATGAAAATTTTTAAAATTTAAGGGCAGAGGTTTACAAGAAAGTAATTCATCAAAACTTAAGAGAAAATAAAACAATAAAAACTAATATTTCGTTATGGAAATATGTAGTGTTATGTCTATTACAAATTACACAAATTATAAAATAAGAATATTCAAAAGGTTATATATTTATAAGTAGGCATTTGCTATTATATTTATTTAATTATTTTAAAAACAAAATCATATCTCAAAAAATCTATGTGTAATATACGCGTACACAATCTAGTTCTCTGTAAAAATTGTGTAGTGGTATCATCCCATTCAATGGGTCTCTTTGAACTTTGACGCTACCTTAAATTGGTAATTTCTATGTTTTGGAATAAAATGAGTAAGGTTCATTTGGATTTTAATTTTTTTATTAGCTTATTCAACAGTTTTTTAAACCCAAAAAATTTATTTAGGTTGATTTAAGAAAATTGATTTTATGAGTGTTTCTTTCGACTTTTTAGAGTTTTGTCGCAAGTCTCATATAACTTTTTAATTTATTATATTCATAAAATATTAGTAGTGACATACAAAATTTTAAAATTCATATTTAGGAATTATTATATATAATCTATACATACATATAATTATTCTTTAATTTTGACACAAAAAGTCCAAAAAATTATAAAGTCACTCAAAATGGATATTTCCAATTTTTTAAAGAACACCCCCTAACGATTTTGGGGAACTTATTTTAATTTGTGAAATTTTTTGAATCGCAGCTTTTTATCTAAGAAAGTTAGTTTCAATCAGACCTAATGTCTAAGGCTTCAATAATCTTCAGGAAAAAAATTTAAAAACAAAATCAAAAAGCAACAGCACAAAAAAAAATATTTAATTCAATTAAAGACGTCCACTACATATAAAAGTAAGAATTAAAATTTTTTAAAAAGAAAAAAATTTGGATGATTTGCATTTATGTGAAAAGTGAAAACTGATAAAAGTTTCCATGTCTACATTCTTCGTATGTACCACATTCTTACACATCAAGGACAGCGAAAAAGAAAATATTCATAGTCCTGGGGCCAAACATAGGCTGGTACCTTGATGGGAGAGGATAAGATTTTTGTGGTTACTATTGGTACGAAATTAGTTAGTTTGGGTTAATTATTTTTTGGTATGAACTAATATATAATACGATTTGTTAGTCAAACACGAATAATATAAAATTGATATAATTAACATGTTTAAGTAGTATTATAAGAATAAAATATTAATTTTTTATTATATTTTATCAAGAAGTGACCTAATTCTTGTTTAAAAAAAATATTATTACTCATTTTTATTAAATTAATTTTTAATTTATAGAAAAAGTATGAGTATTGGTTCGATTAAGTGATAAAAAAAGTTTTAGACATAAAATTGAGCGTTAACTTTTTTATTCACAGGTTATATGGATCGACACGAATAAGACACAAAAATTAATAGATAGACATGACACGATTAATAAATTGAATTGAATTAAGGCTGTCGAAACGTTTGTCAACCCTATCAACAATGATCAAATGCTCAACAAAATATATACCATGTTTTCCTTTTTCCTTTTTTTTTTTAAGAAATATATGCGGTTGATATAAGTTTTTACTTTTTCATTTTCCGATTTAGCTTCTCTCCGATTAGAAAACCCCCAATTCTATTTGACCGGTGATCATCAGTCAACATCAAGAACTCTTAAATTCAAATAGGTCCTTTTAACTTTTAAATTCAAATCGGTCCTTTCAATTCTTAAATTCAAATCGGTCCTTTCAACCCCTGATACAAATATCACTCAGTAAATTTTGAAGTTGGTTTAAATAATAAGATTGACGAATTATAAATTTAAAAATTTTAAATTTAAATTTTAGTAATTATATGTAATTAGGTTATGAGATATTTATTTTTATAAATACTCTAATCCTGATGTGAATGATCGATCGAATTAAAAAAAATATTAATAAAAGATACAAGTAATCTAACACGCAAGTTTTTTTTTTCGTGTACCCAAGACGAAGTGGTTGTGCGTTTTTTCTGTGCCTTTTAAGCAACCACTTGATGGGCTTTTTAGTGCTAAACAATGTGAATCTATAATGGATTGATGTTTAGTTTTTTTTTTTGAAGTGGGAAAATAGTGAAAATTCCTTACTTTAGGAGTCCATAAATATTAACCCTTTTTGACGAAGAATATGACAAAAAATAACTTAATTTCTTAACCACAAGCTGTGGTTGGCCCTTTTCCTAAATCCATTCTCAATTTTTTGGGGTTAGTCATTAAGTATGATGATGTGCAAATCGGTGTTGTGTAAAATCAACAGTCAAGAATATAAACGGATGCAGTCAATGAACAATAAACAAACAATTAATGATAAAACAATAAATAAATAAACAACACATATTGTGGTTCGATCCGGGTGACCTACTCCACTTTCGGGAACAACAACAGTGGCCTAAGTCTTTTATTAAAGAATAAAGTCGTCGAAGAGAGTATTCTCCAGGAGTCTTACAGTACTTAGAGGGAGAGAGAGAGTAGTGTGCGTAAGAAGATGTAGTATGTGCAAGAATCTCAAGGTCATGAAGGCATCAAAAAGGTGATGAGGTGATACCCTTTATGTAGAGAGAATTTACATTATATAGGCTTAGTAAGACGGTGAGACGGTAACGTGAGAGAGATGACTTTTACTATTTTGATAAGTATAATTTTAGTAGGATTAGATCTCCGTATCTCGATATTCTTTCCCTCGTATTCTTATTCTGTCAGAGGACGATCCTGAACTAGGTTGAACTTGAGTCGGAGTGACAAAGTGAAGAGTGCGAATGCCTGCGCAGGAGAGGGAGCATGAAACTAAGGAGGAAAGGAATCCCCTTA